TTAATTGGAGGTGTCTTTAATGGGAGGGGTCTTTAATTAGAAGGAGATCTGTATTTTATCTAAATTGAAACCTATCATAAGGAGCACGTTTGGTACAAAGTCTCTGCACTGGACCTGATTGAGGATATTTCAGGTTCTCTATAACATCAATTTGTCTGCACTGACAGTGCTGGATTAATACTTGTACTAATAATATATAAGTTAACTTATTATTGTATTTCATATTAACCAATATCCTCTAATAATCAGTAGGTTTTCAGGATAGTGCATTATACTTTCTAATTGACTTTAAATAGCTTTTGTAATCCATGATTTACTTTCCCTGAGCTTTCTAGTGTCGCAGATTATCATCAACAAAAAACAGTGGTTTTTTAAAAATATTTTATACAGAGTTTCATTTTTGTTTATACATCATCCTAATTGGAATAAAAACAATTTATTTAAAATATTTTGATATTTATAATTTTAAATGGTTAACTCTTTATACTACTTAGTAATATATAGTGTAATGTAATAATTATAACGAAGCACCAACAACGGTTATAGCATATCAACGCAGTATTCAGAAACTGACAGCATGGTTAGGTAAACCCATTCAGCTCCCAATTTCTCCGGCTACAATTTGTAACTTTGTTGCTCATTTGCATGGATCAAATTACGCACCTAGAACAGTTTCTTTGACGATATCCGTTATTTCATTCATTCATAAACTAGCTGGTTTACCCGACCCGTCTAATTCCTTTCTAGTAGGGAAGATTTTACGCGGCGTCCATGCTACGTCTGCTCGTTCCGACACTCGTCTTCCAATCACTGCTGATATTTTATCTAGATTAATAATATCTTTAGACTCTATTGAACAGACATTTTGTCTTACTTTTCAAAGCCTTTTTTCTGACTGCCTTTCAAGGTTTCTTAGAATCGGTGAATTAGCCGTAGGTAAAGGCGGTGTTGACAAGGTCATTCAACGCAACGATATTAGTCTTTCTCCCAAGTCTGTCTCTTTAACTGTCCACAACCACAAGACTGGGGTTGGTAAGCCACCTGTTCATATTATGTTCGAGAGTTCATCTAAACCTCAGTTCTGTCCCGTGAAGGCCTACAAGAGTACACTAATCATTTTCGCCACACCTCTGGCCCCCTGTTTCAGCATATGGATGGTAGGCCCATTGTAGCACAGTTGATATCCGCCAAATTAATGGAGGCAATTAGTTTTATAGGTCTCGACCCATCTAGGTATATAGGGCACAGCTTTCGCATCGGGGCGGCCACACATGCGGCTTCGCTTGGCCTATCAGAAAATACTATACAACAGTTCGGTAGATGGAATTCTAAGGCCGTAAAAAATTATATCCGTATTCAGAATTTTATACTATAAACTTTTGCACAGGTCGTTCGAGCTTTGGCTCACGACACATGGTTGGGTTAAGCCTGGTGATAAATGGGTCCGTTGAGCATGGCTCCGAGATTTTGTAGTTTGTTTCTGGGTGTTAACCCTTTCTGTTAGTCGGGTTTGTGGCGTGTGCACCCAGAATAGTTATATTTTAATTGTTTAAGTGTATTAATATTTGAATCTATTTGGTGCAACTCTTTATGATACAGGTATATATTTAGGTAAGAATTTATGATTGTATTGATATGGTGCTCATGTGTAATTTAATAAGATAAGCAGAAATAGTATGTTAGTTTACTGTACTAATACAGTATGTTTGATAGGGGCAGCTTCCACTGTATGTACAAGGTATTCATTTCACATGAATAGAGTAATTTAAGCTGTTAGTTGTGGCTGCCCCACATTTATTCAAGTTGTGTTATTTATATTATATATTTTTTGTATTTGTATTATTCATTCGTCATGTAACAATAAATGACAATTTCGATCCGAATTTGTGTGATCCTTTTATTTGTCTTGTCTGACCTCTTCGGCACAAATAACAATGTTACAATCTTCATTAGGATTCTATTTGCAGTACACATTCGCATAAAAGATTATTATTTCAGAGAAGTTTGAGAACACCTTAATGTGATCTTTCATACCAGCCCCCGATAGATGACCCAAATATATACTAGCTATTTGATGGTGTATTCGTCGCTAATATGATTAATGACATTTGTATCCTACGGTGGGTTACGCGCGAAAATTCGCATCACGTAGTACAAAATCAGACCCTTCAGTCGCGGATATAGCGTAAGAGAGATTTTTTTATTCTTATAAAACATAGTGCCAGTTGCCCCAGGTCACAAAACTCCATTTTACAGATGTAAATTTGTCTTTAATTATCAAATTCTCTTAGAAAAATTATCAGCTGAGCGATTTCTATACGATATGGGCAAAACGTTGGCAACTTCCAAGAGGACATGATGTGAATTTAATTGTCTCTCAGTTTGTTTCAAGGATTGTGTGTGAAAAAATAGGAGTTGGATTCTTCGGGCGACCGTCGTAAGACTCAGTGAGTGCCCAGCTTAAGGTAACACTCAACACTTAAAATAGTAATGATGAGTAATAGTATCGAGTTTTATATTTATCAATCAATTTAAAAAAATATATATATATCAAATCAACCAACCAACCAATTAACCAACAAATAAATAATAAATCAATAAATAAATCAATCAATCAAAGAAGAATAAATATACAAATAATAATAATAATAATAATAATAATAATAATAATAATATAATAATAATAATAATAATAATAATAATAATAATAATATTAATAAATGAATAAATATAGTAATGATGAGTAATAGTATCGAGTTTTATATTTATCAATCAATTAAAAAAAATATATATATATCAAATCAACCAACCAACCAATTAACCAACAAATAAATAATAAATCAATAAATAAATCAATCAATCAAAGAAGAATAAATATACAAATAATAATAATAATAATAATAATAATAATAATAATAATAATAATAATAATAATATTAATAAATGAATAAATATATCAAAGAATAAATATATTATTAAATATTGGTTAGTTGCTGGTGACTTTTAATGAGTAGTATAACACAGTTCCTTTTAGTACACTGCAAACTTTTATTCACACAAAATGTATGTTGGTTACAATCAGCTAAACTCCAGGTTTCAGATGTTAGAGAACCCTTTTTGAGGAGTCAGCTCAGCTCTGTACTTTTCTTCTGTGCACTCCTAACTACTAAACTGAATCTAACTACTGACTACTGACTACTGATCACTCACTACTGACTGACTACTGACTACTGACTCAGTGGTATGTGGGTGTTTGCCTATTATACTTTAGGTAATGGGGGTGTGTCTCAAGTAATTCACCACATACTTTTACAGTTTCTGATTGGATCATAGAGAAATTCTTTCTCTATGATTTAGTAACTTGTTTACCAAAAAACCGCTAATTAAGATGTATCACAAACTTCAGAGCTTAGGCTCAAAACTGACAATCATAGATTCATAGTGTGAGAAAGGCCAAGTCCAACTGACTAGGGTAAAGTTATACAATGTCCAGTTATATTATTAGATTATCTGTATACTCAAGTTGACCATTAAAACTTTCAAACCAATTTAAGGCATTTATCAGGTGAAGAGTATCGATTCCAATGGTTATGCAAGTTAATACCATTGAACCTTAATACTACATTACAATATAAAGAATAATAATAACAATGATAATTATAATAATAATAATGTTGGTAATAATAATGATAATAATAATAATAATAATAATAATAATAATAATAATAATAATAATAATAATAATAATAATAATAATAATAATTGGATGCAGAAATTTATAATAACGCACCAATTCAAAAACAGTATCAAAGACGTAAAAGGTAAACAAAAAGGTTTTCAAATTAGTTTTAAATGAGTTTAAATTTGAAGATTGTCGAACAGAATTCAATCAATAAAACATAATAAATCAATAATACATAATAAATCAATAATTCAATCAAACAATCGATCGATCAATCTAAAAGAATTTTTAAGTTAATGTAGGAAGTAGAGGTCTTTGTAGTACAGGGTAAAAAGAGAGTACTGAGATGGGTTTTATTAGGTGATTGAAAAGGTAGGTGGCGCTAACTGGATGATTTGTAATTCTTAAACTCAGGAAGGGAAAAAAACCGATATGTTGTACAACTGATTTTTCTCATTAACCATTCTCGAGTTTTGACAAACACAGACCTGTAGCCAGGTAGGTTTTATGGTTCGAGAACTCCCCCCCCCCCACTTTACCCAAACAAGTCCTGCAACCCAACTAAAGCACTTCAGACCACCCAGACTTAGACGGAATGCTTTGCTGCAGAATTTTTAAAGCAACTGCTATTATAGCATTATTTAGACTCATAATACAAAAAACCTCTGGCTTCGGGGGTTTCGCCTACCCTTTTTATCTTCACAGTTGTCAAATAAATTGTACAACATGTCAAACATTTTCTACCGGAGGCTGGCTTTAAATTAAAGTGGCAAAGCTTCAAATGTGAATGTCCCCCTTGTACACTCACATGGGCTGCTCTGCTCCGTCAATCTCGCTTACACGTTGACGTTCCCCCTTTCTTAAAAGACTGGATCCCCTGAATATATAAATTTCCTCAGTAGTCTACAACCAATATCTTAATCTCAAATTGGAGTTGCCCAGCTAACAATATTATGTTATAATAACGTCCTAATAACGTTACAGTTTGGTGTTAAGAACGTCTTGATGTAATTAGGCCTACTAACGTTAATTTGAAGAACCGTATTATATACGTTGGTTCTCACCTAATGTGTCAACCCTTCTTCTGGTTAAGCTGCATTCACATCGGATCCACATCAAAATTCTGAGCGTTTTTGAAGCGTAAACTCCACCGTTCCTCATTCTTACACATTGGTTCGATTTTCTTATCGCTTCAGTAACCTTTCCGATCTGGAATTCGGGCGTGGGCCAATATACTCTACTGCCTCTATTATACTGCCCTTATCGGAGCTTTCGAGATTACGAGAACTTGCGGGGTTTTTTTTTTTTATCCCAATAGGTACTACATATAGCTATACGTGTCTTCATGAGTGTATTGCAAATGGAGTGCCGATGAATGAGTGCAAGTGTGGGTTTGCTGGTAAGTTTTTATCATATCTATTTTTAGGTCAGTTTTAATTCAAAATATATATAAACACTGTGATAAATATAATTATAGTGTCATTAAGAATATTACCGTTATCACTACTTCTGTACTTAGTTACAATATAGGTTAACTTTGAAGTTAATTTAGACAACGGCATTCTGAATTCCGCAAGGCGCCAGAAAAATGTTTAGATTGCATGATATTTTTCTCTGGAAACGCAAAAGAAAGATTTCATTTAATTCTTTCTATTAACGGCACCGTCCCTGCAATCATCCATAGTACGGATGGTCTCGGTCTGCAAAAACTACCAGATACCAGCTATTCCTGGAATCCCACGCTTGCGTGCGTATGCTAGATGCATGGTCAAGACCAGGGGCGGATTAAGGAAGGGGGCCGGTGCGGCCCCGTTTCACCCCCACCCCTTTTTGGAAAGTAAAAAAAAAAAAAAAAAAAAAAAAAAAAAAAAAAAAAAAACAAGCAAACAAAGAAAAAGAAATAGGCCTAATTGATCGCCCAAAACGCCGGTTATTTTCGGGCGTCTAGAAAACAAAAACTTTACTGGAGCCCCCTGGTGTAGTATTATCTCGATCGGCCCAACTTTCGCCACTCGCTTCCCCCATTTTTTTCGGACAACTCTGGATCCGCCCCTGAAGGCTGCCTGGATAACTCAGGACAAAAAGGACAAAAACATGATGGAGGGAGCAATATAGGAGTATGGAGCGGTGCCGTTTTTACTTTATATAAAAAACGAACTACAAGATTAGTAAATTTTATTAGTTACATATTGTATAAATATATATTCTATTATTGTCCTGTTTTTATTTTTAAATTTTGTTGAATTTACCTTCTATTTGTTTTCTTTTGTTTTAGGAAGGAAACGTTCTGCTAATTTGGATTCTTTGAAAGATAGATCTATTGGGAATTTTAAGACTATTATTGCGGTAATGCATCTCACTTTGTTACATTTAGTATATAGTTGGTAGGCCTATAATAGATCTTAATTAGTTCCAGTCGAGTGAAACACTTTCAGACATGATAGGCCTCTTGTGTACGTTACGCTAAAATATCTTGACAATTTGGATTACAAAATATCACGACAATCAATAAGTTCCTATTGTATAATTTCAATTGGCTGAGTTGACATGTTGGGGGTGTTTCCTGACTTACTGTGGGGTTGTTTCAGGGGGCTGATTGTTTTTAACAGTTGTCCTGGAAAACGTAAACCATTATGATAACTGGAATTGACCTGTCAGTGAAACGCCTGTCGACCAAACTGTCGATTGGCTAATTAGTTGTCGGAAAATATATATATATATCAGCAAAGTGTTTTGTCAGCAAAATATCTTGCGAATTAAGCACTCGGCGAAACGATCGTTCAAAAGTTCATTCGGCCAATAGTCCGTCGGCGAAATTTTTGTTGATGAACTTATCCCAACAGGACAGGCGGGGATGGTGATGCTTTAACATTGTGCGATGATTCAAGTGGATACGTAAGTTACTGACGTCTCCCTTGTCCATTTAAATCCACCAATCTATCACATAAACAGGTCCCCACCCCCTCTTTACCCTACCGGTATGGTTATATTACCCTGGGTGCAATGTTCCCAAGTGTGGGAGAAGCATAAATTACTTCCCCCCACTCCACGGGGAGAAACAATCATACCCCACGGGTAGCAGGCTCGTTACAAGCGGCCAGGCCGAAGGACCAATTTTTTCCAAGGGGGTCCAATTTTAGAAGCTAAAATCGACCCAATCGACTTTGGAGGCCAAATTCTGTCCGCCGGACATTTTTTGGCCCAGATCAATTTTGGTGTGACAGAACCATACCTCGGGTCTTTCCGTCCATCGATTGTGATGCGTGACAATGCAATCTACGTTCTATGCGAAACATCCCGGCTTCGAGGTTTCGGAGAGGAGATTGATTGGTTTTTTGTTTCTTTGTGTTTTTTTCTTTTTCATTCTATATCGCATTATATTATTATGTTGAATATTTTTCATTTTCTTCCAGGGTCAAGGACAAAGTAAATAGCTGCAGTGATTACGGACAAACGATGAAGAGCAAACATATCAGATAATCATAATATATACCGTATTCACTACAAAGCTTTAATGAAAAATAGTTACTAGAAAACTTACTAGAAATATAATACCTGTCTATTATAACGGATAATGCCTCCGGTCTACGCGCATTAACAAAATATGGAATAGAACCTGTCCGTAGAATAGAGTCTGTTATCACCTAATAGGGACAATAAGGCAAGCCCTAACCCGACCAACCAAGGCGCCTAAAACATTTGCATGATGTTCGAAAAGCCAATTTCCAAGCTTTAATTAATTTCTGGACTAATACCGTATAATAAGCTGCATAGTTGCATTTTTTTTTTCTTTTTTTAAAATTATTATCCCGTATAGTGAATTCTTTGCCATATTATGGTTTGTCTCACGTGTATTTTCATAGGCCTACAGTTAATCAAAAATAATTCATATAGTTTATGACCAGTAACTTTTATCTTTGAATTAAACATTATTTGAAAAAACATAAAAGTTGTGCACAATATTTGTTGTCAAACAATCAAATTGTTTTCAGAAATAAATGTGTAACTACATTGACATTTGAAGCTTATGTTGAAAGATATCTGTAAAAGATCTTTACTTAATGGACCTTTTTGGAGTGTCAATCAAACACAACTAACCAATCACGACAGCCAGCACTTTGTCCCACAGATGCTCGTGTTTACATACGTTACGCTGTCGTTCTGTGCAACTTTAACAATACCCAAGAGGTGGTGTTTAGTCCATGGGAAGTTCCATATTAATAGAATAGCAGCCTTATAATATAATTTTAGGTAAGAACTACATACGTACTTCAGATAATTCTTAAAAGGAATCGCGCCATCTACGGTAATCATCACCATTGGAAAGAGAAAACAAAACCATGACACCAGAAACAATAGTGTTTTATGTAATGTTGATTGTTACTAGGTAATTTTAATGATGTAACAGACTCTGTAGGCCTAATAACATGAGAATATTGTTTTAATGATGTGGTACACAATGTATGCTAGCTGTACTCTGGCTGAATAAAAGTTGTTGCATTTATGATGGACGACAGGCTGCTGGTATTAGCTATTATCACATGGTATCAGAAGTGATATCAGAAAGTAAGAGACCAGGGGCGGATCCAGAGATATCCGGGTGTGGTGGGGGGGGGGGGGTAGTGTGAAAGTGGAGCTGATTGAAATAACACTATCCCAGGGGGTCCGGGGAAATTCCCCGCGAATTTGTGTGTTCTAGAGTACTAGACGCATGACCTCTGAGCCGTTTTGGGCGATCAGGAAAGATGTAACGGTGTGGTACACTATGTATACTGCCCTCTGACTGAAAATTTGTTGCATTGATGGACGACCCTGCTGAGTAGTTATTACAGTAATGAAATCAAGAATTATATAGGCTTCATGTCAATTTTATTCGTCTGTGAATGAATATGCATACTGAATTGTTACTCAAATATCACTAACAATTCTGGTCAATCTATATTATAGTACCCTGTGCGAGCTTTCAAAAATCAGACGCAATTCAATAGGCCTACTGTTATCTTCTAGGCCTATTATCTTTTCAGCAAATCTGACTTGCCAATTAATTTGCATTTATTTACAGAATACAGAACTTTTGATCAAAATTACAAGAAATTAATTGGTTGTTGGTAATTCATTTTTCTAAAAATTAACTAATAGTCCACACAGTATAATAATATGAAAACACGGCATATAGAAGAACAACAGCAACATAAATAGGCCTATTAACTAAAATATTATTATTAACTAAAAAAATTATATTGCAATTTAATAAAGGTACTTAGTTTCAAATGATGTAAGTTTATTACTAGTCCTAAATACAATGTGAACTTTCTCATCTTGTGATTGGTTAGTTGGTTGACTGGTTGGTTCTAGGTTTCTAGCGTGCCGTTGTCAATACTGCTGGATGAAGGCCTCAGAGCATGACTTTTTCATTACAATGGGCTTTCCATTAATTATCTGACCCTCCATCTTGGCCTGCCTCCTAGTGGGTTTCATTGTATGACTAAAGTGCTCAAATATTATCAAACAATCGACGGATACGGCCTCAAGTTCTTTATCTTTTTGATGATTGTGATAATATCATTAATATATTTTTTTTATAAACCAGAAAAAAATTTCAATTAATGCAGAATATAATGCTTTCATTACATCACGCCACACGGGATTCCGTTTTAAATCGTTGCAAAATTTCTTTTTATAACATGGAGGAAACAAATTATTTATTTCTTATATTGCAATACTAAGTTATAATGTTCAAACTATATAATAATTATGACCGCTGCGATTATGAATGAGAGAAAGTAAGATAAATTATGTTCATCCACGTATTATAATTATAGTGTTACCATTCACACGACATGCTGAAGAAATTTTAGTCAATGCATTAACTTGACAGTCATGCACTTTGAGCCTTCATTAATTATAGGCCTACATGCAAAGGCAAACATCCAGAACTCTCCTATCTTGTGATTGGCTTACGTAATTTGTCATAAATTACAGTTCATATACTTTTATTTTCTTTTATGACATATAGGCCTAACCCTCATTTTAATAGGCCTCACATTGCAGTGATGGAGGAACCTCTGCTGTTTTTGTGATAGGCTATACATCGGGAAAATACGATACTCACACGTCTTAAAAGACAATGAGCGCTAACAGAAGATCTGCGGAGGAAACGAACGATGGACACACGAACTAAGGAAGATGACTATATAAAAGCCAGCTAAACAGATGTATTGGTTTAGCTGGGTTTTGTATATCATCTGTCTAAGGGAGATGAGTATAAAAGTCAGCTAAACACAAGCATTTGTTTACTTGCTTTGGTATATCATCTGTCTAAGAAATAGGAATATATAAAATAGATATAAACATGTTGGTTTAGCTGGCTTTTGTATATTAAATGTCTAAGGAATAGGAATATTATATTAATGTCAGCTATACACACAGGTTCGTTTAGCTATCTTTTGTATATCGTCTCTTTAAGGGAGACATACGTACTATCGTGTCAGTCAATTGGAATGCAAGGTGATCTTGCCACAGTCTACTGTGAATTCAGAGCCAAACTTGCCTTCTAATACTTAATGTTTGAAAGCACGTTCATATATATATCTGTCT